CGGGCCTCTCCCGTTGCGGAGCACAGGCTCCGGACGCGCAGACTCAGCGGCCATGGCTCACGGGCCCAGCCGCTCCGCAGCACGTGGGATCCTCCCGGACCGGGGCTCGAACCCGTGTCCCCTGCATCGGCAGGCAGACTCCCAACTACTGCGCCACCAGGGAAGCCCGTGTAATTCTTAATATACGACAAAACAACCATTGCTCTGTCTACTATTCCTCAAATTAATACTTAGTACAAAAAAAACTGTTAGAAAATAAAGAATATTTTGAAATTTAACTTTGTAACCCAGACTTATTTTTCTTTATTGGCTCATAGTACAGAAAGAATTTTTATTATGAGAGAAAATAAGGCGTTTTCATTTGTAAACTTTTCTTATTATTTGTTTGCTTGTTTAGAAGGAGGATACAGCTGTGAACTTTGTGAGCTTTATTTTATGTATTAGTCAGCCAGATGGAAAGAATGATCATTAAAAAAGTTAGATGAGCTAGCTCTGATGTCCAAGTTTTAGAAGACATATACTAAAATGAATAATCATAGAATTTAGCTTTAGTAACATCCTTCGTTATACACATTTCATCTTTATAGCCAAACAGTCGCATAGAAGTTTTACATTTTATCTAGAGTTTAAAGTCATTTTTCTTCCCAATCTTCTCAAAACCTCCCAAGTCTTAACTGCAGTTACTTAAATTAGTTCTGACCAAGAACAACAAAATGAAGAACAGTAAGGTGACTTGTACATTACAGTTAGCTTTCAAATCTTTTGAAATACAGATTTTCAGTTTTTCCTTTTTTCTAAAGTATACAGAAGGGAGAGTCATTCTTTGCAGGACATTGCACCCATCTTAATAGATGACATTCTCTTGTGTTCTGTCACAAATGTCCTTGCTATTGAGCAAAGATTGTCAGAATAATATTTAAAATTAGTACTTTCAAATTGATTTCAAATCTTTTGGCTTTGTGCTAGTAATATTTTCCTTTCTCAACTCATTAGAATAAGAAAAGAGAATTAACTTTATGATCTGTACATTTATGGATTAAAATTCACCTCATTTATCTCTAAATATTACTTACTTGTCTTCATGCTTGAGGAATGGATATGTACTAATAACTCAAAATTTTCAGTAATTCATATAATTCACATCAAAATTCCGATTTGAGTGAGTAAGTATTGTTTTCAGTCTTAATGTCCTGGGTTTACTTATCTAATACTTAGTTTAGGTAAGTAAAAACTTATTTAAGTTTTAAAGTGTGTTATTTTATAGACTTTTTTTTTTTAAAAAAACCTCTCTGGAGAGGTTTTTTATAGTTGGTGTATAGTTGATTTACAATGTTGTATTAGTTTCAGGTGTTCAGCAGAGCAAATCAGTTATACATATACATATATCCCCTCTTTTTTTTTTAGATTCTTTTCCCATATAGGCCATTACAGAGTATTGAGTAGAGGTCCCTGTGCTCTACAGCAGGTTCTTATTAGTTATCGATTTAATATATAGTATTGTGTATGTGTCAGTCCCAATCTCCCAGTTTATCCCTTCTCCTCGCCCCCCCCATCCCTTGGTAAACATAAGTTTGTTTTCTACATCTGTGACTCTGCTTCTGTTTTGTAAATAAGTTCATTTGTACCTTTTTTTAGATTCCACATATAAGCAATATCATATGATATTTGTCTTTCTCTGTCTGACTGACTTCACTCAGTTGCTGCAAATGGTGCTATTTTGTTCTCTTTTATGGCTGAGTATATAGGTACCATTGTATATTCCATTGTATATAGGTATCACATCTTTACCATTCATCTGTCAATGGACACTTAGGTTGCTTCCATGTCCTGGCTGTTGTAAATAGTGCTGCAGTGAACATTGGGGTAATGTATCTTTTTGAATTATGGTTTTCTTTGGGTATATCCCCAGGAGTGGGATTGCTGGGTCATATAGTAGTTCTATTTTTAGTTTTTTAAGGAACCTCCATGCTGTTACCCTTAGTGGCTGTACCAACTTACAGTCCCACCAACAGTGTAGGAGGGTTCCCTTTTGGAGAGTTTTTTTTTTTTTTTTTTTTTTTTTTTATGGAGAGTATTTTTTAAAAATAAAGGATACGCTTCTAGCTTTATGACATAACTTGAATTACAGAGAATTTTCGTTTCTTTGCATTTTTGAATTGTGTAATAGGGTTTTAAAAGTTATTAGGCTTTTGCCAAGTTAAAAACGAGGTAATGTTCATTTGCATATGTGCTAATTTTAAGAAACTGTACAGATTAGATTCCTTGCTACTATTTTGACTTCTTTTGATAATGAGAAAATTAGAATTAATCATTGTTTTGGGCGGATACTTATATTTGACAGAACTAGAAGAACAGACTCGAAAAGCTCTAGAACTGGACCAGGAACGAAAACGAGCAAAAGAAGAAGCAGAAAGGCTTGAAAAGGAGCGTCAAGCTGCTGAAGAGGCCAAATCTGCTATAGCAAAACAGGCTGCCGACCAGATGAAGAATCAGGAGCAGCTGGTAGGGAACCTGGGTTCTGTTAGGGGAAAAGAAAAATTCAGACAAAAGCATGGACGAAATCGGTTCTGCAATTTCAGAGTGTTTATTCTCTGAGCACAAAGGTGTTGGTTAATTACATTTTCAAATCCCCTCACTGTGGTATGTGTGCACTCACTTCAAGGAACTTATGTCTTTTTATTCAAATGTATTTTAAAGCAGTAAGTAGAATAACAAAGAATTATGAAAACCATAGACCACATGGAGCATTTTCTGTATTCAGACAGAGGAATACCCATCATGACAAATGAAATACCAGTGTAAAAATAGACAATTTGGAGGTTGCAGTATTTAGTACAGTAAATAAATGATCAGTATTGTGCAGCCACTACCAAAAGTGTGTTGTAATGTATCCAAAATCAACAGTAAAATTTTGTTTGCTAATGAGTGCCAATAAAATAAGTTCAAATAATGGAAACTTAAAAAAAAAAAACACCTTTGTAAAATTAAGTATATTATACCTTCTGGAAAGCAAACCAAAGAGACAAGTGTGGAAATAACAAAGTGTGGAAATAAGCCTAAAATGTTTATTTCTTCTTTTAAAAGGAAACCTAAAAATAAAACCATAAAAGATACATGGAGCCTGTTGCTAACAAAAGATTCTGATTTGCTTAGATTTTGTATAAGCCACTGGCATGTTTTGCTTTAGATAAGTTGACAATTACGTATATTCTAAACCCTATAAGATAACCGTAGGTTAACTATAAGATCATAATTGATGGGTTTTTTTTTGTGTATTTAGTGGACTTGCAAATAATGAGGAGTAGGCATGACACCAGAAGATTTGGGATTTAAATATTGGTTTAGGCATTTCCTTGCTATGTGTCTTTGAGTCTTTCTGAGCCTCAGATTGCTCCCTTTGAAAAAAGGAATAATACCACCTAATAGTATTGTTGGGGAATTAAGAAAGTGCTGTTTAAATTATAAAGTGTTATGTAAATAGAATTCTTTTTCCTTCTGTAGGCTTTAACAGATAGTTTATTTTATTTTATTTTTTGCACAGTACACGGGCCTCTCACTGTTGTGGCTTCTCCCATTGCGGAGCACAGGCTCCGGATGCGCAGGCTCAGCGGCCATGGCTCACAGGCCCAGCCGCTCCGCGGCATGTGGGATCTTCCTGGACCGGGGCACGAACCCGTGTCCCCTGCATCGGCAGGCGGACGGACTCTCAACCACTGCGCCACCAGGGAAGCCCCTAACAGATAGTTTATTGATGAAAGTTAAAAAATAGCTCCTAGGTTCCTGCTATGAAAACAGGAATAACTACGTGTATATAGAATAATAAAAATTTTTTCACTTTGTCTCATTAGCTCATTATACCTAGTACAAGTAAGATATTTATGCTCTTAAAGAAATAGTTTCTTTTTTTAAACAGAAGACTATCTATGAAAAACATATAACACAGTCCATGTGGGAATTCCCTGGCGGTCCAGTGGTTAGGACTCTGAGCTTCCATTGCAGGGGGCCCAGGTTTGATCCCTGGTCGGCGAACTAAGATCTCAGAAGCTGCACGGCATGACCAAAAAAAAAAACAAAAAACAGTCTATGTACATTAAAGCTTTTTTGACTTAATATAAATGACTGAAAATATATTACTTTTTAGTATTGGTAATTGTTTTGTTTATTTTAGGCAGCAGAACTTGCCGAATTCACTGCCAAGATTGCGCTTCTAGAAGAAGCCAAGAAAAAAAAGGAGGAGGAAGCTACTGAGTGGCAACACAAAGTAATCATTTGTTCATCACTATAAATTATTGAACATCTATTTTGTACCCAGCCATATGTGGAATTTATAGAGATAAACATAAGTTGCTGTCATGATTTAGAGGGGAAGAGGTACCTCTGTATGAATGTGTATGTGCTGTAGTAAATACTAATCTAGTGATAATAAGCTAAGTACTTTGGGAACACAGAAGAAATGTTTAATTTCTAAGGGAATGAGGCAGGTGTTGGGGAAACCCTTATAAATTTAAGCCGGCTCTTGAATAATACATTCAATTTGGGGGTAGAAAAGATGGAGACTGAAGAGGAAGTCATTCCAGATCGAGGGAATTGAATGAGCATAAGAAGTATAAAAGTACATGACAGATTTGAGGTCAACTAGTAAGTGAGCAAAACTTAGGGTCTGTTTTCAGAAATTTTGAGAGTTGTGGCTAGAAAGTTAGAGAGGGAATTAAGTTGTGAAAGGCTTTAAATAAATGCCCTGCTAAGGTAAGATGCTGGGAAATATCTGTAGACGTTGGGCTCTGAAGATTTCAAAACGGGATTGTAACATGATCAAGCATGGTTTTATTAAAACAGCTTAGTAATCAGCATGAAGGATGGATTGGGATAGTGGGCAGGATTACTTAAGAGCTAATGACTCACACTAAGGATGTGGCATTGAGAAAAAAGAGGAACAGGAATTATTGAAGGACATTTTGTGGTAGACTCAAAGGGGCATGGCAACCAAATGATTGGATGTAGTTGAATTAGAAGAATGCAATGAAGATGGTACTGAGATTTCTGAGTTCCTAAGTAGATGAAACCACTGTTGTCTGAAATGGCATAAAAGTGAAAAATTAGGCTTTATTTGGAGGGGTAGGGAATATAAGATAATGAGAATTTAATTCAAACTTTAACGTTAACTCTTAAATGGAACTATAATAATAATTTTTTACACTCAAAGGTATATAGTTCTCTGATTTTTCTCCGACAAAATGTACTTATTACAGAAAGCAGTTTTGTTTCCCTCTTAAATTTTCTTTGTAGCACTTCGGATTTCATAGGGAAGTTTTTGGTATTGAGAGTTATGTATATATGTATATATCAATAGAACTCTACAAAAAGAAAAACACTTAACTTTTTTGTTAACACTACTTCATTAGAATTGTATAGATCCCTTTTAGGGATGATTTATGAACTTCAGGGACACATAAACTTATAAAAATAACATATCACAGAGGCACATCCTGTGAATTGTAGAAATTAGAAAATGCATGCAAAAGAAAAATCACATTCTTGCAAACTGGGATCACTATTTTAACACTGTAGTGCATATCCTTCCAGGATCTTTTCCTATTTGTATATGTGTATACATACACATTTATATGTCCAGAGTGAGATCATACTGTACATATTGTTCTGTTTTAGTCAGTTTTCATCTCATCTAACATTAGACTATATTCAAAATTTTTTCATTTAGATATAATTGACATATAACCTATTTTTAGGTGTACAACATGATGATTCAATATTTTTATCTTATTGTGAAGTGATCATCACAGTAAGTGTAGTTAACATCCATCTCCATATGTAGCTACAGAAATTTTTTTCTTGTTATGTAAACTTTTCAGATTTACTTTCTTAGCAACTTTGAAATATAGAATATAGTATTATTAACTATAGTCCGTATGCTGTACATTATGTCCCCATGACTCATTTATTTTATAGCTGGGAGTTTGTACTTTTGAACTCCCTTCTCCCATTCCTCTTCCATTTATGCCTGTGGTAACCATCAGTCTGTTCTCTGTATCCATAAGCTCGGTTTTTTTGGTTGGTTGGTTGGTTGGTTGGTTGATTTTTAGATTCCATATATAAGCGAGATCATATGGTTATTTGTCTTTCTCTGTCTGACTCATTTCACTTGGCATGATACCCTCAAGGTCCATCCATGTTGTTGCAAATGGCAAGATTTCCTGGGACTTCCCTGGTGGTCCAGTGGTTAAGACTTCGCCTTCCAATGCAGGAGGTGCAGATTCAATCCCTGGTTGGGGAGCTAAGGTCCCCCATGCCTTGGGGCCAAAAACTAAAACAAAAAAAAGCAGAAGCAATATTGTAGTAACATATTCAGTAAAGACTTTAAAAATGGTCCATGTCCAAAAAAAAAAATCTTAAAAAAATTCCTTTTTTATAGTGGAATAGTATTTCACTATATATTAATATTTATACCACTTTTTTATTATCTGTTCATCTACTGATGGACACTTAGGGTGCTTCCATATAAATCTTGGCTATTGTAAATAATGCTGCAGTGAACATGGGGGGATGTATATATCTTTTCAAGTTAGTGCTTTTGTTTGATAAATACCCAGAAGTAGAATTGCTGGATTATATGGTAGTTCTATTTTTGAGTTTTTTAAGGAGGAATCTTCATACTGTTTTCCACAGTGGCTGTACCAATTTACATTCCAGTGAAACTGAACAAGCATTCCCTTTTCTCCACATCCTTACCAACACTTGTTATTTCTTGTCTTTTTGATAATAGCCATTCTAACAGGTATGAGGTGTTACCTCATTGTGGTTTTGATTTGCATTTCCTCGATGATTAGTGATGTTGAGCACCTTTCCATGTGCCTGTTGGCCATCTCTCTGTTGTCTTTAGAAGAATGTCCGTTCATATCATCTGCTCAGTTTTTAAAACAGAATTAGGGTTTTGTTTTTTTTTTCTGTTGGGTTGTATGAATTTTTTATATATTTTGAGTATTAACCCCTTATCAGATATATGATTTCCATATATTTTCTCCCATTCTATATGTTGCATTTTCATTTTCTTGATATATTTCTGCTTTCAGAAGCCTTTTGGTTTGAAGTAATCCCACTTGTTTATTTTTGCTTTTGTTGCTTTTGCTTTCGGTGTCAAATCCAAAAATTTATCACCAAGACCTATATCAAGGAGCTTACTGCATGTATTTTCTTCAAAAGTTTTATGGTTTCAGGTCCTACATTCAAGTCTTTGATCCATTTTGAGTTGATATTTCTGTATGGTGTACGATAGGGGCCCGGTTTCATTCTTTTGCATGTGGCTCTCTAGTTTTCCTAGCACCACTTATTGCAGAGACTGTCCTTTCCCCAACCTATATTCTTGGCTGCTTTGTTGTAAATTAATTAACCATATATGTGTGGGTTTATTTCTGGGCAGACTATATTCAGAATTGAACCAAAAAGTCTTTTATAGCTAATTTGCCAGGCCAGTATCCAGAGTAGGACTTTGCATTGCATCTGTTTGCTCTAAGTCTCTTTTAAAGTAGGACAGTTCTTTTTTTTATGATATTGGTTTATTAAAAGGACCCACAGATTGTCCCTCCTCCTGTATTTGTCTAATTCCTTTCTTATGGTGTCATTCAGCTTATATTTTTATCATCAATATTTCTTGTAAGCTGGAAAATAAACCTAAAAGTTTGAAGGATTCAAGTTAAAAATTTCTGGCTATGATGCCTCATAGGTGAGACTTTCAGATAATTTATCATCCAAACTAGAACACTTTTGAGAGTGAAAGGGGGTGTTGTTAATAATTACACCAGGACAACAGTGTAAAGCAGTACTTTTCCAGACAAACCAGCACAATAGAATTACTCAAATAATTGGTGATGTTGGATACTTCCTGTTGTATTATATCAGAAGACATTCAATATCTGATTAACCCACCATTAGTTGTTTTAATTGATCGTTGGACTAGAGTAATAACAGTCTGTTTCCTCCATTGTCTGGTTATATTTATCGTTGCTAAAATGTAATCTATTCAATGTGGAATTCTTTGGCATTATACTTATATCCGTTTTCTCATCAACCATTTGTATAACAATTTTAGCAACAGTTGATAATCCTTGCCAGAATTAATAATTTTATTAGGGTTTTGCACAGTGGTGTCTTTAATTCTGTCATGTAATAAGCTTTTATCAATAGGGCCTGTTTTCATTACCCTGAAATATAGTTTATATTAGAAAGAAAGGATAATAACTTGATTTTTTTTTTTTTGATGTGGACCATTTTTAAAGTCTTTATAGAATTTGTTACAGTATTGCTTCTGTTTTGGTTTTTTGGCTGCAAGGCATGTGGGATATTATCTCCCTGACCAGGGATTGAACCCGCACCCCCTGTATTAGAAGGTGAAGTCTTAACCACTGGACCGCCAGGGAAGTCCCAGGATAACTTGATTCTTTTAATTACCAATTTTCAAAGTAACTTGCTGATAAACTTATTTTTTATGTTCAGGCTTTTGCAGCCCAGGAAGACTTGGAAAAGACCAAAGAAGAGTTAAAGACTGTGATGTCTGCCCCTCCTCCACCTCCACCACCACCAGTCATTCCTCCAACAGAAAATGAACATGATGAACATGATGAGAATAATGCTGAGGCTAGTGCTGAATTATCAAATGATGGGGTAATGAATCATAGAAGTGAGGAGGAACGTATAACAGAAATGCAGAAAAATGAGCGTGTTAAAAAACAACTCCAGGTATTTAAAATTTGCAGTTGTATGCACATTTAAATATAGTTTGCATTTTCCCCATTTGTTAAGACAAACTTATTAAAAAAGAAACATTTGATTTTTGGAAGCCTTTACCTCTAACTGGCCTTGTGATTGGTTTGTAAGTACTTGGCCTACAGTCACGTTATTTCATTTTTTCTGTTGTATGTTCTTGTTACCAGATGTTTGTTAGCCTTGTGTAATGAGGCCTTAATTAGTAAGCTATTATTTAATTATAACAAGCCATGTTAAAAGTAGAACATAAAATACTGTGTTTAAAAAACAAATTTCTTTTTTAAACAGTATACATTAAAAAGAAATGATAATTTAATAGACTACCTGTATGACATTACATAATCTGAATTTTTTTGTTGAGATTTTGTAATGGCAAAAGGTCAGTATATTAAATGTACATAATTAGATTAAAATAGTAAATTTTAATATTACACCTATTAGAGAACTTAATAGAATCAGTTCTCTAATTTTTAAATTCATGAAATCTTTAAATATTAATAAAAGAAAATGGGGTGATAGTTGTAATAAATGTATTAAGACTTTTGGAGAAAGCTTCTCTCATGGTGTAGAATTTAGAACTTATAGTAACATTCAATAACAGCTATATTGAACCTTTTGTAAGTTATTTCAAGTATTAGATGAGAAAGTTCAAGGAAATTTAGAATAATACACAAACTCATCATGGTTGCGGAGTGTAGAAATGAAAGGCCATGGGTATTCCTCTCTAACCACTACCCCGCACCATTACTAAAAGTACAACAAACGTAAACACTTTAAAGGAAAAGATTTCACAGTGGAAATTTTAATATACTAAAAAGTCAGGGATCTGTTATATTTGTATTTTGTGTCTTTAAACCTCTTTCATAGGTTTTTAAAATCTAAAAAAAAAGTTAATAATGGTCATACTTTTTATTTTTTAAACATAGGCATTAAGTTCAGAATTAGCCCAAGCCAGAGATGAAACCAAGAAAACACAAAATGATGTTCTTCATGCTGAGAATGTTAAAGCAGGCCGTGATAAGTACAAGACTCTGCGACAGATTCGGCAAGGCAATACAAAGCAACGTATTGATGAGTTTGAAGCAATGTGAGAGCTGTTATTTTGCATACATGTTCTTCATAAGCTGAACCACCAACAGAGAAAAGCAGGCCTTTGCAGATGTGATGGAATGCATCTCACCTTGCCAAAGCACTTAAACCAGTTTGACTGTGGTAGCTGAAAGACATTTAAGGGGAGCTTTTCAACATTAAGGCAGTGTGATATCATGCTTGGTTTTCTTTTTCTTGGGCCAGGGAATGGAGAACAGTGTTCCATCACCTCCTTTTTCACATTTTTCATTTTCCATTTTTTTTTTCTGTTGAAGATTAACACTAATTATCATGTCTGACAAATGTGTATGTATGATTTAAGCACTTTGTACATTTTAAAGGATGGTGGTGACTTGAGTGTTTAGGTAGGGTACTCTATTTTTTCTTCTTCCATATTTTACCTGCATGTATTTCCACATTCTCTCTCATTCATGTTTTCTCAGTGTGTACTTCTCATACCTTGATATGCCCTGTAACCATAGCTCTGCCACTATACAGATCATTGGCAGTGAGTAAAATGAGCATAGGTGGCAGGGTGGACAGTCTTTCATCATTGTGTAGAAGATGGCTATGAATCATGAAAAGGATTAGAATGTTTAATAGTGTAGTGTACAGCTACTGGTTAATTTTTTAAATCCCAATTTAATAACAGTATTGGATATTTGTTATTTGCTTACTTAATTACAGTCATCTTTGACAGCTGAATTGGTTGGTGTTTCATCTCCTGTCATCATTTGGTTTTCTTTGCCCACTGATCTTACAAAGGTATAGACAGCAGGTAGTAAGTAGTTGCCTAGGAAAGTTTACTGATGAAACACTACTACAAATAACAGTTGTCTCTGAAAGATTCTTTCATAGATTGATTTAGAAAAACAGATGTTTAATAAAAGAAAAAGCACATTTGTTGATAATTGATTATCATCATTAATAAAACCCTGGACCTTGCTAGAAGGGCAGCATATGAAAACAGCAGTCCCAAGGAGGGGACAGTAATACTACCTCACTACTATACCTGTGATGACTGGTCGTTCAAACACAGTGAAGTGTGTAAGCTATATGTTTTATAATACATAGTGATACTGTCAATCATGAAGGAATATTTTTGAGATTTCCTTTTCCTTCAGAATATCTTAGAGTGCTAAATTTTAACTGCCTTTTTGTTGAACCGAACTGTGGGACTCTGATTTGTATTAAAATTGTTAGCGCTCACTGGTATACTATCTTCCTGGAGGGGTGTTGTATGTCTAAGGAAGTGTGTGTGTGTGTGTGTGTGTGTGTGTGTGTGTGTGTGTGTGTGTGTTTGAGAGAGAGAGAGAGATTGCCCTTGTAGCATATGATGATGAATGTTTGTACCTTCATTTCTTGATGTAATTATTACATAATCATTTTAGCATATTTGGTTTCTAAATCATTGTGCTTATTTTTTTCAATCTAACTAAAAATACTTAAATTTGATTAGTTAATTCTATTTTAGAAATTATAATTTTATAGGTTATATTAATTTCAGTTACGTTTTACAAAGAAATCTTCCCAGTTTGAAAGATGTTCAATATTCACAGGTTCTAACATTTTCTTTATTATAAAACATTTAGATTTGGAGATAAGGAAAGCCTTGTTTTCTCTGTGTGGTTCAGCTACTTTCCATTTGGTATTATGCATTCAGATTTACATTTATCTATTAAAATTGCCATTTTGTTAGACATTTTTCATGCACAATAGATTCAAGTTGTGTCTGAAAATATCTCTGTGCTTTTTTGATTTTGCTGACTTTAAAAGGATTAACCTGGGCAGACATGAAAAGGAAAGGTTGCATTTAATATATTTTTTGGATTTAGTAGGACAAAAGATAACTGGTTAACCTTGAAGTGACTGTTGTACGGTGGTTGTGCACATGCTTCAAAACACTGTGGAAGAGGACATTTCTCCTTGCAGCACATTAGAGGAACAGATGATAAGCCCTACTATTCATGGTTTAAAGCATGTGTTCACTCTTCCAAAGCATTAAAGTAATTGCCATAATAGGTGAAAACTTGGATTTTTATTGGATTTTTGTTAATTTGCTTCATTTTGAATTGTGTGCACTACCGTTCCTACATCAGTTTGATATCAGTGTTGAAAAATTACCAGTTATATTTGCTGTTTATAATCTATTTGTAGATTAGAATTAAAATGGATTTAATCCATTTTTAAAGCTGTGTGAATTTTTCTAAACAGGAACAACTATTTGCAATATGGGTTTTCATTAAACCAATTATAACTTTTATTATTAGCATTTGAGAAGCACATGTTCATATAGCAATGTAAAAATATATTAATGAGTATTTGGTAAATTCCAGCAGGCTTATACTATTAGCATAATTTTGTGTTGTACAATTAAGTTACATCTATAATTTTGGATAACATTCATTGGTTAACAATAAAGTGACAAAAGCTCATGTTTCATGCTTCACTGTTGTTATTTAACATGGATTTCGTATATATTTCCTGAATATTATAATCTCTATTAGATCTATAAATCATTACATCTTAAAAACAAGAAGTGGATAGGAAAAAGTTCAGAATCCTCATACATTTACTCATTCCCCCAAATTATATATCTCTTTTGGTATGGAAGTAATAATGATAATTCTCCGGAAAAGTTAAATCATTAAATTAAATCGACTCTTTTCATAATAGAAAATCATTTAAGATTTCTAGTCATTGCTTTTCTTGTATAGTGAGTGCTTAGTTTTCCTAAGGAAGAAACAGTTTCATTGTCCTTGATTAATCTCACTATTAAAATGCTAATGTTCTTTAAAGAACTGTATACTAAGTGCTTCTTACTAAATTTTATTATAAAGATTATTCTTCTTAAATAACAAGTGATAAATCTGTTCTAAGCATAGTAAAAGCCAGTTGTCTTCTCAGTTTACAGTAATATTGAACTGTCACTTTATTATTTCTATTCTCAAAGACAGGTGGTGATCTCTTTATCCTGGTCCTGTTAAAAAGAAAAGGGAATTCTGTAGTGTAATATTTTGCTTTATGTCTAATTAGAGTTCTTTTTTTAAGAACTAGAATTAGCACTTAGAAAGTTATATCTTACACTGTATTGGAACTCACTCCTGGTTATCATTGGAAAGAGTTCCAATGTTAGTGCTGTGATTAAAGATAAAAAATGCACATCACTTTCTGTCTCAGTTCTTATTACCTATTGATTGGTGATATTTTTAGAATTGAAGATAAAAGATTTTTTAGATCCCACAGTATCCCATTTTATGTATGCATAATGAAAATAGTCTTTTAAAATCTAAAACTTAAAACTGAAGTATAGGAATTACTGCCTTTAGAATTAATTTAGTGAACTGATTAGTAAACCCAAGCTTAGATATATTTAATAAGAATAAGGGGAAACATTTAAATATGGAACTACACTGGTAGACAGTCTTCTTTTCTTAAATTTGTTCTAAATGAACAGAACTTCAGCTTTTCTAATTCTGTACTTCATTCTTTTTTTAACTAGGAGATAATCTATTAAATATTCTAGTGTGGTTTATCATGTAGAATGACAATATTCTAGTACATTTCAAAAGCACAGTGATTCAGCAGATATGATAACTTCATAAAATGTCAAGGCAGTATGACTCCTCACTTTCTACACTGTTTGCAAGGAAAACTTGGCTCACGATCGTGTTTCATATATTAAAGCTTATCACCCTCCCATCCGTGGCTTTTCCAATTAAATAATCTTAATTCCCACTTTTTCCTACTGGGCCTATCTTTTTTTAAATTTAATTTTATTTTTTTATACAGCATGTTCTTATTAGTCATCAATTTTATACACATCTGTGTATACATGTCAATCCCAATAGCCCAATTCATCACACCACCATCCCCACCCCCCTGCGGCTTTCCCCTGTTGGTGTCCATAGATTGGTTCTCTATATCTGTGTCTCAGCTTCTGCCCCGAAAACTGGTTCATCTGTACCATTTTTCTAGGTTCCACATACATGCGGTAATATACGGTATTTGTTTTTCTCTTTCTAACTTACTTCACTCTATTACAGTCTCTAGATCCATCCACGTCTCAACAAATGACCCAATTTCGTTCCTTTTTATGGCTGAGTAATATTCCATTGTATATATGTACCACATCTTCTTTATCCATTTGTCTGTCGCTGGACATTTAGGTTGCTTCTGTGACCTGGCTATTGTAAATACTGCTGCAGTGAACATTGGGGTGCATGTGTCTTTTTGAATTATGCTTTTCTCTGGGTATATGCCCAGTAGTGGGATTGCTGGATCATATGTTAATCCTATTTTTAGTCTTTTAAGGAAACTCCATACTGTTCTCCATAGTGGCTATATCAATTTACATTTCCACCAACAGTGCAAGAGGGTTCCCATTTCTCCACACCCTCTCCAGCATTTGTTTGTAGATTTTCTGATGATGCCCATTCTAACTGATGTGAGGTGATACCTCATTGTAGTTTTGACTTGCATTTCTCTAATAATTAGTGATGTTGAGCAGCTTTTCATGTGCTTCTTGGCCATCTCTTTCTTTTCTTTGGAGAAATGTCTATTTAGGTCTTCTGCCCATTTTTTGATTGGGTTGTTTGTTTTTTTAATATTGAGCTGCATGAGCTGTTTATATATCTTGGAGGATAATCCTTTGTCTGTTGATTCATTTGCAAATATTTTCTCCCATTCTGAGGGTTTTCTTTTCGTCTTGTTAATGGTTTCCTTTGCTGTGCAAGAGCTTTGAAGTTTTATTAGGTCCCATTTGTTTATTTTTTTTAAATTTCCATTACTCTAGGAGGTGGGTCAAAAAAGATCTTGCTGTGATTTATGTCAAAGAGTGTTCTTCCTATGTTTTCCTCTAAGAATTGTATAGTGTCCGGTCTTACATTTAGGTCTCTAATCCATTTTGAGTTTATCTTTGTGTATGGTGTTAGGGAGTGTTCTAATTTCATTCTTTTACATGTAGCTGTGCAGTTTTCCCAGCACCACTTATTGAAGAGACTGTCTTTTCTCCACTGTATATCCTTCCTCCTTTGTTATAGACTAGTTGACCATAGGTGTGTGGGTTTATCTCTGGGCTTTCCATCTTGTTCCATTGATCTGTGTTTCTGTTTTTGCGCCAGTACAATATTGTCTTGATTACTGTAGCTTTGTAGTATAGTCTGTAGTCAGGGAGTCTGATTCTTCCAGCTCCATTTTTTTCCCTCAAGACTGCTTTGGCTATTTGGGGTCTTTTGTGTCTCCATACAAATTTTAAGATTTTTTGTTCTAGTTCCGTAAAAAATGCCATTGGTAATATTATAGGGATTGCATTGAATCTGGGCATTGCTTTGGGTGGTATAGTCATTTTCACAA